TTTCACCACTCTTATTCAACATAGTACTGGGAGTCCCAGCCAGAGCAATCAGGCAAGAGAAATAAATAAAAGGCATCCACATTAGAAAACAGAAGTCCATCTGTCCCTCTTTGCAGATACCATGAACTTATGTCTAGAAAAATATAAAAGATGCCATCAAAAATTTCTAAGATTTCATAAACAAATTCAGCAAAATTGCAGGATAAAAATCAGCATACAATAATCAGTAGCATTTCTATACACCAATAATAAACTAGCTGAGAAAGAAATCAAGAAGGCAATCCTATTTATAATAGCTACAAAACCAAAAACAAACCTAAAAATAAATTTAACCGAAGAAGTGAAAGACCTCTACGAGGATAACTATGAAACACTGATGAAAGAAACCCAAGAGGACACAAACAAATGGAAAGCCATTCCATCCTCGTAGATCAGAAGAACTAATATTACTAAAATGATCCTACAACCCACAGCAATCTATAGATTCAATGTACTTTCTATCAAAATATCAATGTAATTTTTCACAGAAATAGAGAAAAAAATTCTAAAATCTGCATGGAACAACAACAAAAAAGCCCAAATAACCAAGCAATCCTGAGCAAAAAGAACAAAGGTGGAGGCATCACACTACTTGACTTCAAAATATTAATATATTACAAGGTAATATTAACCAAATCAGCATGGTATTAGTATAAAAACAGACACAAACCAATGGAACAGAATAGAGAATTTATTTCTGGAAATAAATAGACGTATTTACAGTCAACTGATTTTGACAGTCGACAAGAACATAAACTGGGGAAAGGACACCTTCAATAAATGGTGCTGAGAACAGTGGCTATTTAAATGCAGAAGAATAAAAGTGGACCCCTCTCTCGCACCATATACAAAAACTCAAGATGGAGTAAAGATTTAAATATAAGACATGAAACTATAAAAATACTAGAAGAAAATATAGGAAAAACATTTCAGGACATGGGTCTAGGCAAAGATTTTATGGCTAAGACCCCAAAAGCACAGACAACAAAACAGACCAATGGGACTATATTAAACTAAAAAGCTTCTGCAAAGCAAAGGAAAGAATCAACAGAATGAAGAGACAACCTGTTGAATGGGAGAAAATATTTGCAAACTATTCATCCAACAAGAGACTAATATCCAAAATATACAAGAAATTCAAACAATGGCAAAAAAAATTTTTATTAAAAAATGGGCAATGAACATGAATAGACATTTCTCAAAAGAAGACATATAGTCAACATGTGTATGAAAAAAATGCTTAACATCACTAATCACCAGGGAAATGCACATCAATTAGAATAGCTATTATTAAAAAGACAAAAAATGACACATGCTAGCAAGGATGTGGAGAAAACGGAATTCTTACATGGTCTTGGTGGGAATGTAAATTAGTACAGCCACTACGAAAAACAAGATGGAGATTTTTCAAAAAACTAAAATCGAGCTACCAAGTGATCCAGCAATCCCACTCCTGGGTATTTATCCAAAGGAAAAGAAATAGTATATCAAATGGATAGCTGCACACCGCCCCCTCCAAGTTTACTGTAGCCCTGTTCACACTATGATATGGCATCAACCTAGGTATTCATCAACGGACAAATGGATAGAGAAAATGTGGCATATATACACAATGTAATAATACTCTGTCATAAAAAAGAATGACATCATGTCACTTGTAGCAACATGGATAGAACCAGAGGATGTTAAATTAGCCAGGCCCACTAAGACAAATATCACATGTTCTCACTCATATGTGGGAGCTAAGCAAGTTGATCTCACAGAGGTAGAGAGTAAAATGATAGATATCAGAGGCTGGGAATTGTCTGTGGTTTGGGGTGGGGGGATAAAGAGAGTTGGTTAATGCGTACATACATACGGTTAGATAGAAAAATTTCTAATGTTAGATGGCAGAGTAGGGTGACTATAGTTCACAACAATGTATATTTCAAAATAGCTAGAAGAGAGGACTTGAAATGTTCCTGAGACAAATAAACGATAAATACTCCAGGTGATGGACATAACAAAATATATGTACCCCATAAATATGTACAAATATTATGTATCAATAAAAAAAGGTAAATCTAAACAAGAAAGACTGAGATTCAATCAGATGGTTAGGGAACTCTCCCCCTACCAAACACCTAATCACCACACCAATAAAGCTGCAGTAAGAAAGACAGCAGATTGCAATGAAAAGAGATGTAAGACACAGACTCTGAGGACTATTAAGGAAGTCCAAAGTCAAGAAGGAAGTTTCAAAAAAGTACGCTACAGCTAGGGCAAGCATTAAATGCTGCCCAACTCACATACTGATTAACAAATCCTCACACTAAAGACCTATTTACCTCAATCCTCTTTCCCAATGTTCATCTTTCGACAAAAAATCACAAAGCATGCCGAAAGTCATGAAAAAAATAATCTGAAGACACAAAGCAAGTGTCAGAATGAGACTCAGATATGACAGCCCTGTTGGAATTAGCGGATAGGAAATTTAAAATAACTATCATTAATATTTTAAGGGCTCTAATGGAAAAAGTAGAAAATATGCAAGACAGAGAGGGAAATTCTAAGAGCCCAAAGAAAATAATAAACACTATAACAGAAATTTCTGTAACACAAATGAAGAATGCCTTTCATGGGGTCATCACTAGACCAGACATGGCAGAGGAAGCAGTGAGTTTGAAGGTATATAAACCTCCCAAACTGAAATATTAAAAGAAAAAAGAAGGGAAAAAGAGAACATCCAAGAACCGCAGGACAATTTCAAAAGGTGTAACATATCATAATGGAAATATCAAAAAGTAAAAAATAGAAAATAAAGAAATAGTAGAATAGTGGCCGACAACTTTCCAAAATTAATGACATCCAACCACAGATCCAGGAAGCTGAGAACACCAAAAATAAATACCAAAAAATAAAATAAAATAAATAAATCTACATCTAGGAATTTCATATTCAATCTACCAGAAAACCAAAAACAAGAGAAAATTGTGAAAGAAGCCAAAGAAAAAGAACACATTACCTGTAGTGGAACAAGGTTAAAATTACAACAGACTTATGAGAAACTATGTAAGCAAGAAGAAAGTGGAGTGAAACATTTGAAGTGTTGAGAGAAAAAGGCCAGCCAGCCTGCCCTGCAGAAAATGGAAAGTTCTTTAGGCAGAATGAAAATGAAGGTTAGAAACTTGGGTCTACATAAGGAAAACAAGACCATCAGAGAAGAAATAAATGAAATGCAAACAAAATCTCTTTTAATTGATCTAAAAGATAGCTGTTTGTTTAAAGTAATAATACCAACAATGTGATTACAGCATATGGTGAGATGAATGACAGCAATGTATAAGGGCAGAAATGAGGAATTGGGAATACGTTGATATAAAACACTTGCATTACACTTAAAAGACAGGTTTAGATTAGGAAAAAAATGTGTATTGTAAACTCTACGGCAACCATTAAGAATTTTTTTAAAAGTGTATTTGGTATGCAGGAGATAAAATGGAATCATAAAATGCTCAATACTAGAGGAAGACAAAAAAAGGGGTGGGGAAGAGGACAAATGTAACAAATGGATGAGTAGATATTCATTCAATTACATCAACTGTCATTTGAAATGTGAAAGGTCCTTCTGATGGCAGGGATCACTTAACTTCCTTCTGACTTGTATTCTGAACTAGAAGATAAAGTATTTTGGGTGCCGCTAAACAGAACATCAAGTGAACAGTTTTGATTCGTTCAAAGCAAGTCTCTTTACCACAGGAGAAACAGATAAAAGATATCAATATCCAGTCATCCAAGCAGCATGTTTCCCAGTTAATTCAAAACCTGGTTGACTTTCTGTACATTGGTGGTCAAATTAAGATTGGCATGTGTTCCCATTTTACGTGGCATTTATTACGTTTATGAATATAATAGTTATCAAATTGGTCAATTTCAGTATGTGCTTGGGATAGAAAACATACAGCAATTAGGGTACTGGCAAAAGTCTCCTCTCGCACCTTAGGGTGTGAATTTCTTGCTACTCAGTCCAAAGTCAGAGTCATTCTACTTAGCCTTACTACCACAGGCAGAGATTTCTCTCACTGCACACTTACTGAAGAATTTATGAAAGCTCGCAGTATTGGTGGGGGTAGGGGAAGGGTGGTAACTTAGACTCCCATAAGATTTTCACCACTTACCAGTTGCAAGTTATTTAATATATGTGAGTCACCTTGGTTGGTATTAGGTAGACAGCAAAGGACCTCCGACCCCTCCTGGGGACAAAGGCAGGCACCCGAGCAATTGCTACATCTGGAGGGAGGGAATGCCCTATGAATCTGCCAATCAGAACTTAGCACGTCAATTGCAAAAGAATGCAGAGGATTCTCTAGCCCATGGGCCAAGCAGCACAGGTACAAATGGGGTCTGGAAGGTGATCTAGGACAACCTAAGGCTAATAATCATATCATTAGCTGAAATCTACATTGCAGTTCACCCTCCCAAATGGGCTTTCAGAGAGGCTCACGGGAGATCTGCATGCGTAGTAAGACTTGGGTCATATAACTTGGAACTGTCCATCAAAATGGTTGGAAGGTGACTCTGAACCACGAGGAGGGCCCAATCCAGACACTATAAAACAACATCCCAGACCATAACGAAGGCCCTTTTTTGTTACAAGGGGTCCATTCATCATCTGCGTTAAATGAATCTTGCTCTTGTTCTATAATCCTATCTTTCTCCCCTCAATAAACCTCATTATGTGCCTACCTTGCTTTCGGGGTGACTGGTCATTCTTTGGCCAAGGGCATACCAAGAACCAACATTGTCAGACTGCTGACCTGATAAAAATACATTTTAAGGAATCCCAAGGGGGGAAAAAAAAACCCCAGATAACTACTGAAATCTCACATCGAGCATACAAAGTCAGTGAAGAAATTCCGAAACCCATTTTCTATCTTGCTTTAATAGTTCACTTATGGCTTTTGTGAAGAATGTGAACACACTAGAAACAATAGCCATTTATTTTAAGTATCAGTTTTTATTAAAAAGTGCATTTTAATTTATGATCTAGGTAAGCTGTAAGATATCAGTATATTCTCTGGAATAATAACTTTACAAAGATTTAAAACAAACAAAATTTTAAAAGCCTTTTTATTTCCTTCACCATTATTGTTTTACAATACAAATATCACCTTGTGAATACACAAAAAAACCCTACGGAAGATAATTCTGCTGCACGTAAAATACAGAATGGATATATATACTTCTTCATTCTTAAAAAACTATTTTGTTTTCCATATTGGCAAGTATAGAATAGAATACTTCCCCAAACATACGTATGTTAGGAGTAAAACTTAGAGTTACATGCAGTTTCTGCACAAATATATTTTAAAGAAATAGATATCTTTTTTGTTGTTCATCAACAAAATTGTCATGAGAGTATGGATAACTAATTCATAGCTTTCAAGTTTTAGGTAAGTGATCATTTTCAAAACTCTCTTTTAAAAAAAGATATTCATGGCTGTTTTCATTGAGTAGTTAAAATTGAACTACCAAATAGATGATAAAATAATTTAAGTGGTACATGTCATTGCTACCTGTTCACAATATGTGAACAGGCTCTGACTCTCCAATTAACATCCCCATTCTTTAATTCACGGCAACTTTAAAACTGTAAGCAGTCTTCTGATTTAATTTAGCTATAAATGCAAAATTTAGTAGTGTATACATACATTTATATTTTCATGGAATACTTTATTTTAAATAAAAACATTTAAGATTGCCTACTGACCATACAATCAAGACAAGAAAGGCACTAGAAACATAGACAAATTTCTCTCCCAAGACGCATTTTTAAATTTTAACTCTCTTCTGACATGTAAAAATCTTTAAATTTGGTTTCATAACATCATTTTGAAAAATAAAGTTAGGAAATACTTAGAAAATCACTTTATAACAGAATCTTTTTTTTTTTTTTTGCACTTTTTAACACACTGTCTCTACTGATTTTATAAAATCCAAAGTTACCAAACCTTTCTGTGTCTGTCATTTTTATTTGAATATCGGTGCAACAGGTAGAAAGATTTCAGAATCAAACCCCATTCAGGTACTTAGAAACCTTCATAGAGACATTTGCTAGAAAATGGCTTACAGCCCAATCTTTGGGGCAAGAGATATGAAAAGTATGTTTTCCCAAGAAAATAATACGCTTTATTTCCAGATGTGACTGGAAAGACCAGAACTTATGATATAAAAGCTTACATTTATGCTGCTGCATCATATACAAAGGAACATGGTGGTCGCGGGTTATGTAAATCCCAAACTTATGAACAGGAAATGTGTACAGTGCATGATAGGTTTCTTTATTGTTGTCCAACTCAGGTCCTTTGGAGAGAAAAAAGATCACAGTGCTGACCAGGTAACTCAATAGGTTAAGTCAAGGTAACCAGTGAAAGATAATAAGATTAGGGAGGTGTTTATTTTATGGCATCTTCTCTCATGGAGTTCTTAGCACTTCGGACAATTCGTCTTTCCCCCACTTGGTACAGCTGTTATGTGTCGTTCACCAGCCGGCTGTATTTAACTTGCCTACCGAGGTGGACGACTGGCCAGGGGAAAGGCCAATGGTAAGATCGAGGTACAATTCCTTGGACATTCTTTTCAAAGTACTGAAATGGCCTGTACCACCACACCCTGGCCAGGAGGTTCATCTGGGAAGCTTCCTTTAGCACCTGAGACAACAAAGAAACATACAAACTTTTCTCACAATCTTTGACTTTAAGTTCAAAAACTTCCCATGTTAAAATTCCCAAAGGTTCCCAGACCGGCCCCACACCCACCCCATATCCCAGCTTCTCTCTCACAGCGCCATTCTGCACTCTGCACTCATCTGCAAACTGGGCTGCACCTTGGCAGAAAAACCACCCCGGTTCTGGGAGGGAAGGGAGAACTGGGCTCACTTGTCTCTTGCCTATCAATAAATACCTCGGTTAGCTTCTCAGTTACTCTTCTGCACTAAAAATGGAAAAACTTAATTAAATATTGTTAAGCAGTAAGCTGGTGATGGGCCCAGGGCAGGGAGAAGAGGATGGATGGACACAGGCTTAGAAAACACTTCCCGTGGACAATGAGAGTGTGATACTTGTTCTAGAAGGAAGCAATCTCCTATGTCATTGCATTAACATACTTTTCATCTTGGTTCTGAAGAGGATCAATGGCACAAAAGACAACACAATCTTAGTTGACTACCCCTTAGACAGAGAAGCTCAAGACATCCACGCATTCTTTGTACCTCCTACTCCCCTACCCCTCTGCCCCCAAACCAGCACTGCCAAGCCAAGAACAACAGAAGCCAAAATCAAAGGGGGCAAAACTCACTTGCTGATTGGCCATAGTGTGATACCACCAGAAGAGTCTCGTGGTGATGTAATATGCCACCACCACGTCCACAGTGTAGTGGTCATGCGCTAAGAGGATACAGAAGATTCCAACTACGCTGAGAAGCCAGCAAATCCAGTGATACCACCAGAGCCGTCGAGGGGAATCTAAAAAGAAAAGGAATTGTGATATCCCATTATTGAAGTAATACTAAGGACACTTACCCAGGCCTCTAATACTGCTTCTGAATCAATTACCTCTGGTCTTTCCCTCTGAAAATAGATCTCTTGGGCTAGCAAATCTAAGGGCTTTTGCTTATCTGTAACCAAGGTTAGAATAGAAACAACTTTTTATGAAGTGATTATCCAGCAATAGTAATTCATATTTGGTTATTACATGAGTCATACAATCATAAATACAGTTTAAAAGATGAATCTTATCAAATAAGGATAGGTTAATGCAATATGCTCCATTTAAAAAAAACTGTCCATTGACATTTAAATTTACTTGTGGCTAATCTGGGTTAATGCTCTATACAAAAATCAATACCTATTAGTCCAAAGACCCTTACATAAGGATTAAGCAGTTATAAATGATACATCTGTCTTATCTGCTTTCCAAGTTCTGCAAATAAGATTAGTACACACTAATCTGAAAGTCTTTGGGATTTCCACTTCTCAAATACAAATAGTTTTCTTTTGAATCCAAATGCCTGAGAATTCTAGTCCAAGTGCTCCCCAAAGGTAGGACAGTGTCAGATAAACACTTGTCTGTACTCTCATTTAGGAAATCACCCAAGGGAAAAACCAAAATCCCTACTAGTGCAGGCCTTTCTGCCTTGCATTCTAAATGAATAGAAACTGACAGGGTCTGAAATTTTAGGGAAAACATTTGAATGCGATCTACCCCTCCCACATCATGCAGGAAGGTTCAGGCTTTTAATGAATTCTCAGAGGGTCCAAGAATCAGTCATTCATTCAATCAATATTCACTGAGCATCTTATATGCCTGGGACAGGCACAGCTCTAGCACCTGGATCAATGAACAAAACAGGCAAAGAGCCTGCCTTCCTGAGGAGATCCCTTCCTAGTAGGGAAGAGAGATAAGAGATAATAATTATAATAAATAAGGAAATTATACACTATGTTAGTTGTTAAAGGATGCAGGAAAAAAAAATTAGGTCATTAAATATGAAATGTCCTATTTTGTATCAATAGTTTATGTCTCAAACAAGAAGCAGTACGATTAACCAAAGTATGTACCTAAACTATCAACAAAGTTTTGTCATCTTAATGGTAGCTTGTTTATGTCAACAGTGAAGAAGTCTGGAGAATGAATAGCTTATCGAGAATTGAATATTTTTCCTTGTAAGAAGTGGTCCAAAGTCTGGAAAACGTGATAGTCAGTTGGTGCACGGTCTGGTGAATACAGCAGATGACAGAGAGTTTCTAAGTCCAGCCTCTGCAGTTTGAACAGTGTTGTTTGTGCGACATGTGGTTGAGCATTGTCTTGTAAGAGGATTGGCCTGTCTCTATTGACCAATCTTGGCTGCTAATCGCAAGCACCCTCATCGTTTCATCCACTGGTTGCAGTAGACATCTGCTGTAATCGATTGACCAGGATGCATGACGCTTTAGTGGATAATACCAGTGCTGGACCACTAAACAGACATCATTAGCTTTTTTTGATGAATATTCGTTTTGGATTGTGCTTTGGCACTTCATCTTTACCCAACCATTGTGCCGAATGCTTGCAATTGTCAAAAAGAATCCATTTTTCAGCACATGTAATAATACGCTATAGAAATGGTTTGTCTCTATGTCATGACAGCAAAGAAAGGCAAGTTTCAAGATGATTTTTTTTTCTGACACTTGTTTAATTTATGTGGTCCCCATCCATCCAGCTTTTTTATCTTGCCAATTTGTTTTAAATGGCCTAATATTGTTGGCATAGTAACATCGAACCTTGTTGTTAATTTACACGTACGTTGAGATGGATTTGCTTCTACTACAGCTTTGAGCTCATTATCATTCACCTTGGTCTCAGGTTCCCCACGTGGCTCATTTTTAAGACAAAAATCACCAGAATGGAACTTTTCAAATCATTGATATACCGTGTGTTCATTAGTCACATCTTTTTCGAACACTTTGTTGATATTTTGAGCTGTCCGCACCGTATTGGTTCCAGGATGGAACTCATATTTGAAAATAAAATAATTTTTGACTTATCTGTGGTTTTACAAAAATCATTTAAAAAAAACTTTGAAAGATAATCACAAGTCAAACTATGTGTTTGAAAGACTGAGGATGTACTTTCACAATAAAAATAAAACAAGCAGCATCACAGTGAAATGACAGGGATATCAACTGCCAAACTTAGTACTTAAGGAAATCAGACATTTCCTACTTAATGACCTAATAAAAAAGATGAGCTGGATAAGGGGGAGCAGGAGCAGAGGGAGTGAAGAGCAGTTTATAATTTTAAATGGTAGTGAGTGTAGGAATCTATCCCAGTGATAGTTGTATTTGATACCTTAACAACAATACAACAAGTAGCAGCTACCATTCATTCTCTGTGCAACTCCATTAGTGCCCATAGATGCCATCCATTTTACTTTTTATAACCTCTTCCCCACCCATAAAGTAGATAGCAATATCTCAATCTAAAGATGATAAAACTAAAACTTAGAGATGTTAAAGGTTTTCCTCGGGGTCACAGAGCTAGTAAGGGACAGCACCAGGATTCAAAATCAGAGTTTTATGACTTAATGCCTCTGTGTTCCCCCGTATAGCACACTGCCTTATCATCCAGGATAAGCCTTGATCCCATTAAAGGATTTCAGGTATTGGCCAGCAGGGGGCAGGCTGCTGACATCTGGCCTACATGGTTCCCACTTTTCACACTCAGTCAGTCATATCCTGGTACAAGGGCTAGACATGCCCTTACGATTCTGAATACACATTGCTAGAAGTCACTATATTTGGTCACAAACTAAGCACAAGCAGAACATCCATTCTCCCTTTTCGATCTCAATGCCCTGAAGTGCATCTTTTCTTCCCTTCCAGTATTCCCTTATCTTAGTTCAGTGGGGTGGGGAGGGGTGGGGGGTGGAGAACCTGCCCTAAGGCCATAGGTGGACTTCTAGGTCCTTCTAGGTCCTTAAGTGAGACCTTCTGACTGAATCCAAATTTTACAGAACAAATCCTTTTATTTTTATTAGTATATTTTTGTTTGTCTTTTATATTTTTATTTTTAAAATGAATGTATTGAAAATACCAAAGAATAAAATAAGTTTCAACAAAATAATCCTCCCAGATTGACCAGCACAATTAGAACATTAGTAAGCCATAAGGGCTAAAGTGACGGCTGCTGTGCTCATGATTTAGCTCTAACTTCCCCCGCCTGATTGGCGCTACAACCATACAAGACTGGTTGGTGACAGTTTATGGGGTCGAGTATGCCAGTATGTTATCAGCTTTTGACAATGGTGCCCTTTGTTTCTATTTGAAGTGGAATTTGTGAATAGTTGCACAACTCAACAGTATTTTTCAATTCTGTCTGCTTAGAAGCCCATCATTTCAAAGAAGACTAAGAGAACACTGAAGGAGGAAAACAGATTTAATAAGGCTTGAGAATTGCAGTATTACCTTGTTTCTGCTAAAGATAAGATGATTTGCTTGCTTTGTGTACTGCAATATCTACATTAAAGAAATTCAGTGCTCATCAGCATTACAATACTCACAAGGACCACAAATATTTTAAATTCCAGGGAGAGGCACAAAAGGTTATATTGCAGAAATTAAAAGATGAAAAGCAAAAGCAAAGACAATTCTTTCAAGCATCAATGATACCTGGAAATAATGCCACACTGAAGAACTTATAAAGTAGATTATATAACTGGAGAAAAAAGGGAAGCCATTCAGTGATATAGAAATTTTGAAAGACTACATGGTCAAAGTTGTAGAATGCTTAGACTCCGATAACATTTCCAAGTACAAACAACTGCCTCCTTCAAGGAGAACCATAACTGATAGGCAAAGCAGCATGAATTAGCCTTCGACTTACCAGAACAACTTCATGCAATACTTCAAAAGGAAAATATGTATTAAGCAATCTCTTTGTGTGAATCAACTGATACTACTGACTCAGCAAAGGTTTTATACTTCATTTGGGTCATAACAGAAGATTTTTTGTTTTAGGAAGAGTTACTTGCTTTGGGCACTCTTGTGAACAGAACATGGGGAATAGATATCTTCAACAACTTTCAAGATAAATGTCATGAAGTTAGACTGAATTTGGTAAATTTAGTGAGTGTATGTACAGACAGTGCACCTTCCATGACAGGAAAACATAAAGGGTTTATTACAACAGATTAAAAAAAAAAGTATTAACAGATCCAAATGCTCTCATTTCATTGTATCTTGCATCAGCAAAATCTCTGTGCTAAAGCTACTATTTTAAGTGACACTTTGTAAGAGTTGCAACTGCAACAAGGCATTGTCAATTTCGTTAACATGCTAAAGCTGAATGATGTGGTATTTTGTGTGGATTTGCCAAATCATTCTAAAGTGCGTTGGCTATCACAGGGATAGGTGTTAGCCAAAATTTTATCTCTATAAGAACAGATAAATTTTATGAAGAACAGAACTGGCAATTTGAATTATTGAAAGCAGATTTCTACAGAAATGCAGCATTTCTGAGTGATATCACATCAAATCAAAATGACTTGAATATTTCTTTGCAAGGTAAAACTAAGTCTACATATGACATGTGGCAAAAAGTCCAAGCATTTCGAAAATTATCTTTTTTCAAAACACTTCTTCAAAAGGAAATTTTGGATGAACATTTTTCCCAGTTAGTAAAGGTCACTGATAAGCAGGATGATGTATGTGAATCATGTGAAGAATACACAGCTGTCATAGACCTATTAATTGGAGAATGCAATGAAAGGTTCACTGACTTTGAGAATCATGATGACATCACATTCAAATTAACATTTCGGCCTCATCTAGTTGGTATCACCAAGGCACTTGAAGAACTACAGATGGAATTGATTGAACTCTCAGTAGATGACACTTGAAAGTCATTGTTTGATGCTAAGAAAGACCCAATCGAAATATGGAAAAATGCAATAGAATACCCACACCTTTGGCAACATGCCCGAAAAATGCCTTCTCACTTTTCAACCACTTATTGCTGTGAATCTACATTCTCCTACCTAACCTAAAAATCAAGATGCCCTTAAGAACACAAATGACTGATATCCATCTAGAGGATCAACTGAAACTGTGGACCTCCATGCTGCAACCAAATATTCAAATGCTTTCCAACAAAAAGTAGACATAACAAAGTTATTAAAAGGTTAGTTAACTTTAAAATTAACAAATAGTTTTCATTTTTTGAAATTATTAAGTACAGAGTAGTTAGATTTTTACAAAATAATGTACATTTTAAAGTATATCTAACAAAAGGTTCTTAAATGCGGCTTCATTTGATTACAGCTAAGTTAATGCAGACATCCAACATGAAAAGGTTCTCCACTTCTTAGTTTTTCAAGACCAAAACTGGGCTTTTGCCCAGTCCACCACCTCTCTTCTCTACCATCACAATCCATCCTGCTGACTCTTCTCTGTTCCTCTCTCAGGGTCTTAACTTCTCTCCATCCTCAATGCCATCACGGTAGTTCATGCCACTACCATGCTATTCCTTGACTGTGGCAACAACCGATCTCCTAACCTTTCTCCCGGTCTCCAGTCTTGCTCCTCTCCAATCCATCCTACAAGCTGCTGCCAGAGTGGTTTCTCCCTCTCTAAAGGACAAATAAGATGACATTATCCCTCTGCTCACAATCCCTCATTGGGCACCCCATCTCCATGAGACAGAAGTTCAGATTCCTTCTTGTGGCTTAAGGTTCCCTCCACGATCTGATTCCTACTTATCTGCCCATTCTCATCGCTCATTATTACCCCAACTCTGAATTCCAACCACATCAACTCCCACAAGTACTATGTGCTCCCAAGATACCTCCAGAGGGCAAAGTGTCTCCCACCTCAGTGATACCACAGCAGCCTGATTTTATTAATCGTTTTTCATGGAAATTCCCTGTATAATGCTCATTAGACTGTTTCTAACAATAAAATATTGAGGACAACAGAATTTTCTGTAAGTAGAGAAAAGAATAAATAATCTGTGGTTCATTTATAGTACTAAAATACTAACAGAAATTAAAGTGAAATAACCAGACTTTTATGTTTCGAAAACATAATTTGAAAGTAAAAAGTAGCAGAAGAATATATACAGCATGATACCATTTACGTAAACTTAAAAGCCCCCACAAAACAATAATATACAAGTACAAAAACATGGATGGAAATGACACAGGAAAATGAGAGATGGAGGGAATGAAGAGGCTTTAATCATATATTAACATTTCATTTCCTTTTTTAAACGGTTATTTGAAGTAAATATGGCAAAATGCTAATATATATTAAATTTGAGCCATGTATAGGGCTATCTGTGATATTATTTTGTCTGTGTTTCACAATAAAATATTTAAAGCACATTTCTTAAGGAAAGTTTCCCATTTAGTGTCTGCTTTACCCCCGTGTCCATGTTTTTTGTGAGGGCAGAGATGTCATCTGATCCATCACGGCACCCTCAAACCTACAGCATAATGCCACATGCTTGACAAATGACTACGAAGGCACCAATGACCTACCATCATCCACTCCGCCCTGACCTGGATTTCTGTGTTCTCATGAGATTTCCTTCTGGCTCTTTATGCAGCTGTACAACTGGCTCCTAACGCACCCTGTGCACTGTGCTGCAAACTGCCCCCTCCCCAATGCTACAGCTGATGCTCTAGGAAACAAGACACCTCCTCCTCAAGAAGAGCCGCTATGTCCTTCTACAAATTTCCCTGGGTGCCAGCTGCATCCTAGGCATGGTGAAAAGATGAGGCTGCTGCCTCCTCCCCCCCGAAGCCTTCAGGCTTGCTTCAGCGGACTCCAGAAAACGTGATTTATCAGGGGACTAGAGACTATGGGAGGTGGCAGGTGAGGAAATTATAATGGAAGCTGTTTTAAACTTACACTCTTTGATAAACAAGTAGGTGAGCGTTAGCATGACCGTGTGGCCACTGTACAGATAGTCCCCACACATGTTGTGGGAGCCAGTGATGGACAAGCCGCCTCCAGCAATGAGCTTCATTATTCTCCGCAGTTGGGCTTCCCAGTCTCCAAAAAGCTGGTGGGAAAAGAGAAGAGATTCATTATTAGCCCATGTGAAAGTGTGCTATGATTACTATTCATATCCAGAATTAAGCTTATATTAAAATCCCCACGATCGAGTTTGCCCACTCAACATTTACCATTCCAATGGGTAGCCTTCTAAAAAATTATGGTCCTACAGATAAATCATGTGGCTTCAGAACTTTCCTTAGATGCTAGTGCTTTTTAAAGCACATTTTTGTAGATGTTCACCTTTTTTTTTTTTTTTTTATTATACCAATAGAGAAAGACTACCTCTCTCTGACTAACTGAATAATTGATTTACCAGAACTGCCATTTGGAGAAAAGAAAATTTAAATCTCTAGTCTAGGAAAAATTTAGAGATGTATTTTTTGCCATGTTTGGCCTAGAGGACAATTATTCTACTAACTTAGCTAGAACAGCTGGAGACTGGAGAGTCAAATGCATGAATATTTTTGGTATGTAGATGTTCAGGGCCCAAAGTGAAACAAGAGACATGCCTTTAATCTTTAGGAATTATGTGGGTAGTACTGGATGATTTTCCTTTTAATGAGAGTGAAAAAAGTTTATAAATTAATCTACCTGTCTATGATACAAGTTCAGGCTAGATACTAGAGTAATAAATGGCTTAAACAACTCACTCACTGCAACTTTTATTTGCTCTGTCAAATAAAATATGTGCTCATCTATATTTTACGCTTGTCAGCTCTCTTAAAATCTGGTTGGCCAATTTAATCACCATGACCCCTTTTCAACATTTAACTGATAATAATTCAGCTTTGGGAAACATGTTTCATTATGATTTCCCTTTAAAAAAATCATCAAGATTTCTAGTTAAGAGGGCAGGTTGAACACACCACGCAGAAAATATGAATTTCCAAATTCAAAGAGATTACTGAATGCCCAATACAATAGAAGAAATGGACCTACATAGCAAGACTTAGTGTTGTGGAATTTTGGAAATTGGGGACTAAGAAGAGACCCTAAAGCCTCCAGAGATTAAAGACAAGCTTTATACGAATGAACATTAGATGAAGACTTTTCAAACACAACACTGGAAAACAGAAAGCTTTGGGAAAATGTCTTCAAATTCTGACGGAAAATGATTTCCAACTTAAAATTCTACACCCAGCCATATTACCACTAAGCATAAACTAAGGATAAACTAAAGTCTTTCTCATATATGCAAGATTTTAAAATATTTATCACTTACATACTCTTTCCCAGGAATTACAGAGGATATGTTCTACAAAGCAAGGGCGTAAACGTGGAGAAAAGAAGAAATGGGACTTGCCAGGATGCCAAGGAAGTACAGATGAAGGACTGTGCAGTAGCTCCCACGTTCGGGCTGGAAAGCAAACAGCCCGAATGCTCTGGAGAGGTGTCGTAGGGAGAGGGGACTAACAGAATACCCAATGCCTCTGACTGTGCATAGAAAACTTTTAAAGCATAACCTCTGAACCAGTTATATTGCTTCTAGGAGTCTACCTCAAGGAAAGATCCCAAATACGAAGAAAAGCTTCATGTACAAATATCCCACTGCAACACTAGTTATAAAGGCAACGAACTGGAAGCAACCTTAATGGGAGCTGTTAAATGACTACTCCCTTGCTTGCTACTCGAAGTCTGGTCTGGGGATAGTACTGGTAAGATGGGGTCCTGCCAGAGATTCACTCTCAGGGCCCAAGCTAGACCTGCTGAACCAGAATCTAAGGTGATTTAAATGCACATTAAAGTTTGAGAAGCCCTCAAAGAGGCTATAACTGCTATAATCATTAAAAAATAAGTTACAATATTGTGTAGTAAGATTATATCATAAATATTTTCCTTTATTAAGTAGAAAAACAGCAGATAAAATGGTATAATTATGACTGTGTTTTAAAAAACTGCGCAGAAAACATCTAGAATGTAACATACTAAATGTGAACAGGGTTAGCATGGAAACTGGTAAGATTCCTCCCAGTCTCTGTCCCAGGCCAGCTTCCTTTGCTTTCCTTCCTTGGAGCTCTGTCTGCATCTCGACTGCAGCTCTGGAATCTGCATTGCCTTTGAGTCCAGGCAGGAAACATGGGTGGAAAGCAAAACAAAACAGGAAACTCAAGGGCTCGATCTTTCATACATTGCATTTTGGTGTCCTCAATCTGTTTGCTACCACTTTTTTTTTTTTTTTTTTTTGAGACAGGGTCTTGCTCTGTCTTACCCAGGCTAGAGAGCAGTGGTGTCGTCATAGCTTATTGCAACCTCAAACTCCTGAGCTTAAGCAATCCTCCTGCCTCAGCTTCCTGAGTAGCTGCGACTACAGGCACGCACCACCACATTCAGCTAATTTTTCCATTTTTTGTAGAGACGGCGCCTCTCTCTTGCTCAGGCTGGTCTCGAACTCCTGGCCTCAAGCAATCTTCCCGCCTTGGCCTCCCACCAAAGTGCTAGGATTACAGGTGTGAGCCACATTCCTGGCCTATCATTTACTTTTGAGTCCTCAAATAGCTGCTCCATATATTCCGCCCAGTGTTTTTTTGGCTGCGTTCAATGGGAAAGGATGGAGTGTGCTGACTCCAGTGTAACCAGAGTTGGAACTTCACCTATCAGTAGCTTTTGAGTGTTTGTTTTGAAAGCAGAGATAACTCAAGGGACACTTACATAAAAACTTGCAGTGGACACTACAAAGCTGTGACAAGAAAGTCTCATATCTACCAATTCTATGTGAATTACGGTCCCCCAAGGTCACAGAAAACCAATTTCCAATAAAAATAAAGCAATTTTCTTCAAATTCTAATGAATGGCCTAGAAATTAAGTAAATTGGCCAAATCACTTAAGCAATACTCAAGCACAGAAAGAAACTCAGAGCAGGAGGAGGGAAACGCTTCTGAATGAGAGACGCCATCAGGTACATTTAGAACCAATGAGCCTTGGTTATGAAAAAGCAGGTTTCCCCGAACAATTTTCCAATGCTGACTAATACAACATACTGATGACAGTCCGTTCCCATTGCTCAGTTTGCAGATGCTGAGAACATCTGCTTTCTCTAACTGCATTTGCAGAGCAGGGTATTCACTGTACTTCAGCCCTCACTGGCAGGACAGGAGAACCTGGAACTAAAACCCATCAAATAATGCTGCACAAATCAAGGGCTTCGGTATACCTTTGATGAAAGGCTGAAAGTGAGTGCTAAGGAGCAGAAAGGCAATTCAAAAGAATCCTTGACCCTCACTAATGCTACATCTTAGAGCAGCCCGGTAAAGTTAGCAAGGTAAATTCTATTAGTCCTAGGCCCCAGTATTGGAGCTGGGCCTGGAACCCAAGTCCTCTGGCTCCTTGCATGTAATATGTGCAAAATGACATGCCGCCTTGGGCATGGCCAGGCCCTCACAGGCTAGGTAAACCAGGAACTGGATACACATAAAGTATTATAACTTTTCTTCAGCAGGCTAGGTACCTTGGCAGAAGTAATATCATACTATTCCAACTACCATGAATAGTCAGGCATCCCTCAAAGTATTCATTCATTCATTCATTCATTCATTCAAGGAATCTACCTACCGGGACAAATTATTTTGTCTTGCTCCTAAAGAACAGTCTTCCACCAAAACTGAAAGTTCGTTATCAACCCTGAAATGCCAAGAGAAGCTGCTCTTAAACACTCAGACCAAAGACCAGACCTGATAAAGGAATCAAGCAAGCATCAGGAGAAGGAGTGGTAGAGTCCTCAGCAATCCATGCCTCCAGAAGCCCGCAACCGAGAGCGCCCTGCTGCACGCTGTGGCCTCCTTCCACGTTAACTCTCCCAATGGACGAAAGCAGCAAATCTGGCCGCTTTCCAAATTTCAACTGGCATGCAGCCCTCCGTAAGTTATGATATGTCCTTCAGCCTAACCTTGAAGCCCCCACTGGGAAGGTAAGGTGTCTGAAAATGTGATCAATGTTTCAGGTTTCACAGTAGCAGTGAGAGGCTCAAAGCTACCCCTTAAAATTTCTCCTGCCTCATTTTATTGTTACCTGGCTGGGCAGTAAAAAAAAAAAAAAAAGGAGTGGTGGGGTGGCTTTACAAAATAAAACAATAGCTTTTGTTTGTATAGAGATTCCAACTTTTTAACAGTATTTTCTCATCAATTATCTCATTGTAGCCTCAGGCGCCTGTCAGCTGGTGAGTGCAGATGCTACTACGTGGCGCCATTTACCAGGGACGCTACTGACCAGTATTTGAGGTCACACGTGGTCACTCAGGATCCGAACCCAAATGTCTTATTTCAGAGCCAAACAGTCTTGCCCTTGGGGTCCTGGAAAAAGCCTATTGCTGCAAACACCTTTCCAAACAACAAGGACAATGTCCAAGGCTGGACAATGTCTTCAGGTTCACTTTTTGTTGCTGTTGTTTTTAATGAAATATAATTATTTTTACATATGTCATTTAAATACATAGTTGAATAGCTAAAAAGCATTTATTCATTATTCACAAAAGACCTATTTTCCATTTAAATCAAACTTCTACATCTCTATAAAAGTTATTTCTATGGAACTCTTCCACAAACAAACTGCACATTTTCTGCCTTCTTCCTTCTTAAACAACGTGTTCTCAGTTTGATTTTAATTTCTTTGCTTTATATTGTGTTGTGTTGGTCTCTAAATTCACTTTTACAGGAACAACAATGAGCATAAATCTAATCCCAAACTCTAGGTTAAGGTTAACCGTATAGGTGGCTCTGGACAAACCATTTTACCCAGCCTAGCCTCAGTTTTCTGAACACTTCTTATCCTCAACCTCTACTCTCTAAAGCAAGATAACATTTATAAAAGTGAGTGCTAAAATATAAAGTGTTATAACAAATTTAAGGCAGCATTACTATTACCAAGTTAGGTCAATCTTTTGGGTTTTTTTTTGGGGGTTTTTTTTTGAGACAGAGTCTTGCTCTGTTGCCCGGGCTACAGTGCTGTGGCATCAGCCTAGCTCACAGCAACCTCAAACTCCTGGGCTCAAGCAATCCTCCTGCCTCAGC